CCCGCGGCCCGACGCCTCAGGGCTGGGGGCGGGGACGCGGGCCGGAAGGGGGCGGGTTTCCTCCGTCCCCGCCCACCAGCTGGGGCCGGGGCGCCCAGGGGGCCATTTGCTCGTTTCCGCCGACGCCCCCTCTTCTCGCGAGATAGTGGGCTTGCTCTCGTCTCCCCCCCCTTCCCTCTGCGGTCCTGTCTCGCGAGGGTTCTCCGGAGGCCGGGGTGCGGTGTCGGGGTCGCGCTGCGTACCTGGGTGGGTGTGCCCGCTGCTGTTACCTGGTTGGTTCCTTGGAAGCCGGGTCTAGGGCGAGCCTGCTTTCAGCTGCCCTCTGGCAGAGTTTTGCCTGTCAGGAATTGTGGGATTGCGACGTTGCCACCAAGTAGGGAAGGCTCTAGGTGAGGTGCGACCAGAGAGGGGTGTCTCGAAAGGTTTTTCTGCTTGTTCTTGTTTGTTGCCAACGACGTGGAAAAACAAAACAGTTAACATCAGCCCACAAAACAGCGGTGCCCAGACAACACGGAAAGAAAGCAAGAGAAGCTAAGCTCTGGGATTGAGATGTGTTAGCAGCCCGGTTTCCAAGGTTACTGCTGTCACAGACAGAAAGAATTCCAGAATGCGGTGCTCCTATTTTAAAACGCTCTGCTGCTTTTTCCTCGACTGTGCTGAAGACAAAGTCCAGAAGCTGCCCTCAGTGAATGGCAGCTAATGCGCCGTTACCGACGGCTGACACATTCCGAATTAGCCATAGCAGCGCTTACAAGTTGTTCTGCATGCCTAGTTTTGTATCCCTCCTCCCCCATAACAGTTTTACAGATGAGAACGCCAGGACACAACGATATTCGGAAACTTCAAAGTCCTGTGTCTTTGCTTTGTTGCAGGTGTTGATCTATCGTTAATTTCAGTGCTCCAGAGAAGGCCCTGCCTGTTCCCACTGCATGCTTTTTTTTTTTTTTTTAAAAAAAATACGTGTTTAAACAAACAATTAAAAATTCCTGGTTTTCACCTGTGTAAGCAGAAGATGGATTTGCTATTATTTTTCAGACTCCGGGTCAAGAACTTCCAAGAGTATAAGCCCTCAAGAACACACACTTCAGTGTGTTTATTCAAACCGGCTGATAGTTTTGAGACAGGAAGACTTCTCATCTTTGAATAATTGTTTTCATGCTTCCTGTGTATTTCAAAAATAAAGTTTATCTGCTTCCAAAAATATTGTACCTTCACATAGAGGGATGTTTCTCATTTATTTATTTGAATGTGCATTGGTGTTTTTGCCATGGGTGTCGGGTCCCCTGAAACTGGGCTTACAGACAGTTGTGAGCCATGTGGGTGCTGGGATTGAACCCGGGTCCTCTGGAAGAGCAGTTCGTGCTCTTAACCCCAGGTTTCTCTTTTATATTGTACAGAAAAAACAGCACACAATTGTTACTATTTAGGTCACATCAAAGTTGAACTCTTAGCCTGGAAGGTTAGCTTTGCCTGTAATTAGAGGATTTGGGAGGTTGCCACACAAGTTGGAAGCCAGTTTGGGGTGCGTACAAAGTAGATGTCTCAGAAAGTTGAGCCCTGACTTCAGAAGACCTGAGAAGTCTTCTCTACTCTCAGATATCAACCAAACGGACTTTGGCAAAAAGATGCCAAGTCAAACATGGAATTTAAAAGAAGGATTACGTTTACTTATGGGAGGGGCGCATGTGTGCCACAGCACATGTGCAGAGGTCAGAAGACAACTTGCAAGAGTGGTTTCCCTCTGCCCAAGTGGGTCCTGGGGATCAAACTCATGCTGTCCAGCTTGGCAGCAAGTGCCTTTTCCTGCGGAGTCCTCTCGCTGCCCCCAGATTGGAAATCTTAACCATTTATTCTACTAATATTAGCTACATATTATCTCAGCCAGTAGTTGAAAATCCATTAAATGATTTCTTAAAGTGTTACTCTTCCCAAGGATGTTGTCCTTTTAAAATGGGATTTTGATGATCTACATTATACAAAACACATGCACAAACTTTTTCTCAACAGGTGCGTCAAAGCACTATTTGACTAGTACTCTATTTCACAAACTCATGCGTAATTTTTCTAGAGTTATAAGCTAGGAATTGCTGAGCTGATGCTTGAAGGACTCTTCTCCTTTCCTCTTTGGGATTACCACCCCTCTCCCCCAGTGACCTCCTCAACTGTAGGCACACTTTTCTGTGTCTGGGCAAAAAAAAAAACACACAGAGACAATATCAATTATAAATGTTCAGCTGATAGCTTAGGCTTGTCTCCAGCCAGCTCTTACAACTTAAATTAGCTCATTTCTGTCCATCTATGTACTTCCCGGAGGCTCATTTACCTCATCTATGACCTTCCCATGTTGCCTCTTCCTAGTCTGGCTTGAGACCCTTGACTCTGCCCTTCTTCCCAGCATTTTCTCTGCCCCCCAAATCCTGCTTAACTATCGGCCAGTCAACTTTTCATTAACAATGAGAGTAACACATTTTCAGAATGTACAGCAGGATTATTCCACAGCACTCAAATTATCCCCTTAACAGTAACTCTAATTTAGAAATCACAGAGGGAGTGTATAAGTAAGTTCATATAGCCAGTTTTTAAGTTAGGCATTGACCAAATAAAGGCAAACATCAGTTCTTTAAGCCATATGATCAAGATTTACACCAATGGTGAAATATGTTGACTGTGCATATCCTCAATGTGATGTGGTGGGGGGAATGCTCTGCAGTTCTCTCAAAAACTCAACACTAGTCTGATGGTCAGAAAAACAAACACCAGACAAATCCAAGTGGAGAGACAGTCTATAAAGTCCTGAAACAATATTTCCCAGAGCTGTCAGGTGGGCTGGAGTGTCATTTAGTGGTAAAGTACTTCTCCATGTTTGATCCCCAACACCACAAAAAAAAAAGACAACAAAAATCAAGGTCATCAAATCTAAAGAGAACCTAAGAAATTGCCACAACTGTAAGACACTAAAAGCGATGTGACGAACAAATGCAGCATGGGACCACGGAACAGGACAAGGCCACTAGGTAAAAACTAAGGAAGCCTCAGCTAAACACATACTTTAGGTAATAATGTGGCGGTTTCAATGAGAAATGTTCCCCATAGTCGAGGGCATTTGAACACTCGCTTTCCCAAGTGGTGGAGCTTGTTTGAGTAGGTTTAGGAGGTGTGGCCTTGCTGGACTGAGTGTGTCACTGCAGGGGCCATGGGAGAGCTTTTAGACTATTTCTAGTTTACTCCCTCTGTTTCCAACCTGAGGTTCAAGATATGAGCTCTCAGCTTGAAGCTGCAGTGGTTATGCTTGTTTCTGTGCCTGATGCTTCCCTGTAATGGTCGTGGACTGCTATCCCTCAGGAACTGTAAGCCCAAATAAACCCTTCTTTCTCTAAGTTGCCTTGATCATGGTATTTTATCATAGCAACACGAAAGTAACTAATACAAATAGTGATGTTGTATTGTTCTTTTGTTTGTGTTTTTGACTGGCCTCAAACTTGTTCTGTGGCAAGGATGACCTATGACTTCTGATCTCTTTGCCTCCACCTCCTGAATGCAAGGATTACAGGCATTCAATGTGTTTAAGTAATACTGGTGACCAAATCCAGGGTTTGCCTATGCCAGGCAAGCTTCTACCACCTGAGCTATAATACTGTATTTTTTTTTTTTTTTTTTTGGTTTTTCGAGACAGGGTTTCTCTGTGTAGCTTTGCGCCTTTCCTGGAACTCACTTGGTAGCCCAGGCTGGCCTCGAACTCACAGAGATCCACCTGGCTCTGCCTCCCGAGTGCTGGGATTAAAGGCGTGCGCCACCACCGCCCGGCAATACTGTATTCTTAATAGTTCCTTGTCACAAATGCACACATAATATAGGCTGTTAACAACAGGGGAAAGTGGAGATGAAGAACTCTACACTGTCACAATTGTTCTGTAGATCTAAAACCCTTCTAAAATAGTTTTAATTAATTTAAACTAAATTTTTTGGTAATTTCATACATGAAAATGTAGATGTAACCAACCGTCTTATTAAATAAGAAACACAGAACCAATGCAAAGAAGAAAGCCAAGAGATCAGAGCTAAGAGCCTTACCCTGCAGCTAGCCTCTTCAGCCAAGAGACCTCTCCGCAAGAGAACTACTTCCTGTGTGTTTGTCTTTATATAGTCTTTCTGTTCTGCCTTCTCATTGGTTGTAAACCTAAACACATGACTACCTCATCACTGCCTGTCTGTAGAGACTTCCAGGTCTTCTATGGTATTGAGATTAAAGGCTTGTGTCTCCAATGCTGCCTGTAACCTTGAACACACAGAGATCTACCTAGCTCTGCCTACCAAGTGCTGGGATTAAAGGCATGCACCACCACCACCATGCTCTTGCTATGGCTCTAATAGCTCTGACCCCCGGGGAACTTTATTTATTAACATACAATTAAAATCACATTTCAGTACAAATAAAATACCACCATATGAAAACATTGGCTTTGCATCATTTCCATCCTCCCCTCTCCCCCTCCAACTCCTTTTCCCACCCCCACCCCCAAATTCATAACTTTTATAATTGTCCAATTAGTGTTGCCTGTGTGTACATGGGCTTAGGTCCAACCACTTAGGCTTGCACAATGTATCAGGGGTGATGAATTTATTCTCCCTCACTTAGTAACCATCTACCTCTTACTTCATCTAGGAGGGAGGCCTTGGGAACTTTTCTCCAGTCATGTTGTCATGTTGGTGGGTGCAGTCTTATGCAGGCAATTAAAAATTATTTTTAAGAAGTCAACTCTGACAGACTTGGTGGTTTATGCCTCTAATCCCAACACTCAAGAGGCAGAGGCAGGAGGATCTATATTAGTTTGAGGCCAGCCTGTTCTACATAGCAAGTTCTAGTCCAGGCAAGGCTACATAATGAGGCTCTGTCTCTAAAAAAAAAAAATTCAATTCCTGGGACAGAAGACATGGTCCAGTGCTTAGGAGCTCTTGCTACTCTTGAGAAGCTGAATTCAGATCCCAGCACTCACTTTGTGATTCATAACCATCATAACTCTAGTTTCAGGAGATCTGATGCCCTATTTTGACCTCTGCAGGCACCAGGCAAACATGTAGTATACATACATACATGCAGGCAAAACAAATACATGAAACAGAAATAAATCTTTT